TCTCTGTGCGCATAATATATATATATGTATATATAGCTCATATGTACGTTATATATATATATATATATATATATATATATATATATATATATATACATACGTGACATTATCTGTGTTCTGTTTTGTCAAGCTCGTGAAAACACGACTGCGCCACATTAAGTCAATAGTGCGTGTTTACGTAAAACATATTTGCATAGCTCACGGACATGTTCGCTTTCAAAATATTAACGCGCTGCTTGTTTTGTTCATCCCACTAGAAATCGACGATACGTTTGCTCTCCTAAATGCACCCGACCGCCATTTGTTGACAATATTATACTTCCGCTGTGACAGGCGCTCCCCGACATGCGGCTACTGCGAGCCAGTTTTGATTTACTTGCGGTTGGCAAACTCATTTCCGTGGTGAGCACAATACGGAAAACAATAGCCGCAATAAAATATTTACATAGCCAACATTAGAAAATAAATGTATGGTCAACGAGATAAGAATTAATATGCAGAGCGAACAGCCATAGAAACAACCATCAGATGGCAGTAGAAATGCTATACGATAAATATAATAGGGACAAAAGTAGAGGTAGAGTTACGGGTCGGAAAATTATTCCACTGGCAGAAGAACATCCTTGAATAGAACAAAGGAGAAAATAATCCCGCCTCGGTCAAAAGGACGCAGAGAGACGCCATCTAGCGGCTGTTATTCACGGAATTAAACTCACGGGGACAGATCAATAGTCTGAAGATAGACAGACGGACGGACGGGCGGACAGGCGATTGGAGGGACCGACCGACCGAACGACCTACATAATGTCTGCGAGTATCGATTGCACGCCTTGCAAACTGGCACATCGTCAGTGAAATGAAGTGAGTTCTAAGTTCGCTGATATTCCGTGGGTATGCCGCCGCGCCGATCAATTGATTTACGAGCTAGCTAAACACCATTTAGATGGGACAATATATGCAGCTAATTTGACTGATTAAATAATCGATTGTGCGCGATAGCGAACGCTATAGGTGATCGGTAAAGACAAATAGTGATTGATCGACGCGGGATTCATCAATACTTAATCCGTAGTGCGGCGCACAAGTATAGAAAATTAGAACCCCACCGAATCGCTATAAGCTAGCTGTCGAGGATTTTAAGGCTGCGCGTATCTCGCTGTATTCTCTCCCTAGTTGTATAGGTTTATACAACGAGTTTCATGCGCGGGACGCTTATGCGGAATTATATTGTTACTCTAACGATGCGTCCGACGCTAAGCCGCAAACGGCAGGCGCCCACGCAGAGAGTCAAGAGCTACCGTTACGGAACACTCCTGAATCGAAGGACGCGAGAAACACATCTATATGGAGCTTATTGTCTCGAGCAGCGTATTATATCTACAGCGTATCGTGCGGCGCGTTAAAACGCAGTGCAACCCGACGTCGAGGCGAGTCGCGCGTGAGGGAAATTGCTCGGTGAATGCGGCTGGCATGTTCCGCTTTAACCGCACTACCCGCCCTCTACCCCGCGCTCACACCGTCTGTCGCCGTGGCCGCAGCAGCAGTGTGGTCACAATTATGTAAAGTCGACGTCACGCCGTGACGACGCGCGGACTCGCATATCATCGCTCCGTGCCCTTCCTCCGTCGCTCCACGCGATCGCTCTATAGCTATACTACATACGATACCTAGCCGATTCACGGCGTGGGTGGATGTGTGTGTGTGTGTGTGTGTGTGTGTGTGTGTGTGTGTGTGTGTGCGTGTGCGTGTGCGTGCGCGTGCGCGTGCGTGTGCGTG